TAACATATAACGGTGTTCACATGTTATACACCATACATGTGATCAGCAGCATGGGGATATTCAGTAGTGGTTCGACCAGATGAGTGGGAGTTCTTTGTTTCTTAAGTCCTGTTGGGTTTGTCGTATCACCTAACATTTTGGATTTAGCATCCACTTATCAGGGAGACCATGTACAGTTTGTCTCTTCGCTCTTGGCTTACCTCACTCAACATGATTCTTTCTAGCTCCATCCATTTCCCTGCAAATGCCATTATTTTGTCATTTCTAATGGCTGCATAATACTCCATTGTGTATAGATACCACAATTTTTGGATCCATTCATCTGTGGTGGGGTATCTGGGTTGTTTCCATATCCTAGCTATTGTGAATAGTGCTGCAATAAACATGGAGGTGCACGTGTCCTTGTATATTGGTGCCTGTTGTTCAGGGTAGATGCCTAGAAGTGGTATGACTGGGTCGTAAGGGAGGTCAATTTGAATATATATTTAAAATGTTTTCTGAGATTATATCTCCCTAGATTTGTTTACTTTTATACTATTTTGTACTACAAAATATTAGAAGTGGTTCTGTGTATATGGGTACAATGGTGTGTGTGTGTATGCATGCATGTGTGTACATTATCAATCACCAAAACTTCCCCAATACAAACTATAAATTTGGTATTTTTATAGTTCTGTGTGAACTGAGATCATCTAGGTAGCTTTCTAGAAACAATCACAACTAGGTAATAAAAAATCATTTCTATATTCATATCTAAAGTTCTGTTTTATACTTTAGAATATAGTTTTGTGGTGCCTACTAGTTTTTCTTAGATTATTTTCTAGCATTTCTTAAATTATTTTGCTTGGAAAAATAGCAACAAAAAATAATTGATTAATAAAAATTTCATTGAACACTATAAACAAAACAAATCTAAGAAACATTTGTAGAACATCACATCTTAAACCAAAACACAGCCAAGCTTCTTCGCCAGTGTACTCTGGACTTTCCCCAGGGCAGACCATATGTCAGAGAAGTCAATGAAGCTCAATTGATTAGGAAAGGTTTGCAATCCTACAAAGTATGTTTTCTGACCACTAGGGATTTAAATAAAAGTCAACAATAAGAAGAAATTGGGGGAAATTCACAAGAATGTCAAAATTTAAAACAAGCAACCAGATGAGTTCAAGAATAAACCACAATGTAAGTTACAAAACACACTGAGATGAATAAAACTGAAAACACAGGATACATTTCCAAGATTATGATTAAATCCAAACCATCAACTCACAAAGTTACAATTAAATAATGCCATTTTCTATATTTAAAAGAGTCAGAACACAGAACTCTCCCTTTCATTTTGGATTTACCCATCTCATCATACTAGATCAGTAAATAATTATCTTCTATTCAACTCCTAATCTCAAATCTTGAAACTGAAATCAATTTAGCATGTGCTACTGATTAGGAATCAACCAGGAATGTAGAGTTTTTGTCTACATTCAATCCAAATCATTATCTGCTGCATTAGTAAACAACATAGAATGATCATTTACCCTGAAATCTATTCCAGGACATTGAAGTAGAAAACACATACCCAAGCATCCTGTTAAATGGGCGTAGGTTTATATCGAGAACACCAGGCCATGTGGATGGTTTCAGTGGTTGGAGAAAGGCTCAGATAATGTAAAGGCCTGGCATTTATGAGTCCTAGGGACTCATACCATTTTATTTTTTCAGATACAAAGTGAAGCACTCTACTGTCCTAAGCCAAGTGAAGACATGGTGTAAAGAATAGGAAAAGGGGGGGTTGCTAAATTATACAGATAATATCATAGGAAGCCTACCAGAAACTAGTATTACTTGTTAGATGCCAGTGACAAAACTAAGACCTGGAGGTTTGATGCCAGCCCAGGCAGGCAGGTAGAAAATCCTGTGAGGTTCTATCTGTAATTAATCAGCAAAATACTAGACTGGAGGTATGGCTCCAGTGGTAGAGCACCAGTTCTGAGGGAAACAGCCAAGAAAGATTGTGAAGTCCTGAGTTCACTCCCTTGTCCCAACATAACAAAAAAAGAAATAAAGAAACTTGTAGTCCATTTATATAAAAATCTTTCAGATAAAGTTGTCCTGAAGCTATAATTTTGTGTTACAAATTTCTCTGGTTTTCTTCTTTATATCTATAAATATTATTTTAATAGCAAAAGAGAATTTTATGTTACTAAAAATATTACAAAAACATGGGCTGGGAAGGTGGCTCAGTGGTAGAGCGCTTGCCTTGCATGCTCGAGGCCCTGGGTTCGATTCATCAGCACCACATAAGCAAAAAGAAAAATGCTGGAAGTGGCGCTGTGGCTCGAGTGGTAGAGCGCTAGCCTTGAGCTGAAGAGCTGAGGGACAGTGCCCAGGCCCAGAGTTCAGGCCCCATGACCGGACCCCTCCCAAAAAAATTACAAAATCATGTGTGCAAAATAAACAAAGGTATAAACATGCTTGGATGAAACAAGTCAAAGAATGAAGATTTTAACTCAAAAGTTTCTAACCTAAGAGTCCTGAGTTTATAACACAAAGGACCAAGATCACTCAAGTTCATTATTGTTGAAATGATAAATCCAAGTAGAACAGATGATAAGAGAAGACTGAGAAGAATTAAATGGAAAAATTTTCATGGATATTGCTTAGTAGGTGTCTCTGCTAAACAATAAGGAAAGATGCAGCATCCAGAACAGACAAGTAAGGGGAATTGTAGAATAATGACAGATAACTAAGGCTGAGTTCAAGTCTGTGGCATAAAAACAGCAATAAAGATAAAATTTATTCTGGAGATGATGCCTGAACTAAGATAAGATCCAACTATACTACCAACATCAAATCATATGGTAAAATTAAGGATAGAGCATTATGTTTATTTTACCTAAATACTGTGATTCTCAATCACAGTATTTCTGAGTTTTTAAAGAAAACTGTTGCTATCTGCTGATAAAAAATGGAATCTTAAAAAATTTCATACTTGTGTAAGCAAAACTTGAAATACCAAACTATAAAGTGGTAGAAAGAAACATGTTGTAGAAAATAGGCAATAAAGGGAGAAAATATCACATACACTCAAATGTAACACTATAAGAACCTCTGCACATAAAAGCAAAGTTCAGAAATCACTGACACATAGTATGAAATATTATGTTACTACTTAGGAAGTATATTATAATAATGTATTTACCGTGCTTTGTGATTAGATGAATAGCTCGATGATGTCCCATCTCTTGGAGAATCTGTAAAAGGTCACCGATCGTCTTGTTTTTTTGTGCCCAGGACCACAGTAACTCTCTTGATCCACTTTTACCTTGGTCTACGTATTTTTCAATATGACGAACATCTAGCCAGCTGTCTGAAAGTCGCTCCGCTGTGGAAATTGCAATTGAAAAAATCAAAGGACAATGTGTTTACTCTTATGGAAATACTTGGTTTTGTTACCATATATATATTTTTTTTCTTTTTTTTTGGTCGGTCATGGGGCTTGAACCCTGGGCCTGGGTGCTGTCCCTCAGCAATTCAGCTCAAGGCGCGCGCTCTACCACTTGAGCTACAGCGCCACTTCTGGTTTTCTGGTGGTTTATTGGAGATAGGAGTCTCACGGTCTCTCCTGCCCGGACTGGCTTTGAACCACGATCCTCAGATCTCAGCCTCCTGAGTAGCTAGGATTACAAGCGTGAGCCACCAGCGCCCAGCTATCATATATATTTTATATGTGACTTTTTTTTTCTTGTGCTGGGATTGGGGCTTGAACTCAGAGCTTAGCACTCTTACTTCATTTTATTTTGTTTTTTGCTCAAGGAGCCAAACCTCCACTTCTTGCTTTTTTGGTGGTTCATTGGATATAAGCGTGTCATGAACTTTTCTGCCTGAGATTTTTGTTGTTGGTGGTGGTGGTCTTGGGGCTTGAACTCTGGGCCTGGCTGCTGTCCCTCAGCATTTCAGCTTAAGGCTATAGTGCTCTACCACTTGAGCCACAGAGCCACTTCGGTTTTCTGAGTGGCTTATTGGAGATAAGAGTCTCAGGGACTTCCCTGCCCGGCTGGCTTTGAACAGTTATCCTCAGATCTCAGCCTCCTGAGTAGCTAGGATTACAGGCATGAGGCACCAGCTCCTGGTTGCCCGAACCATGATATTCAGATCTTAGCCTCTTGAATAGCTAGAATCATAAACATGAGCCACAAACACCCAGCTATTTGTGACTTTAAATTTGAATTAACTTAGTATATATTCATCATCTGCCCTCCACGAATACTCACATTAAAAACCTCAGTAAAATAATCAGTCATTAATAACCAAATACACTAGTAAGCTTTTCTGTTCTCAATTCCTTTTGAGTTTCCCTCATTGCATTCATCGCTTCTTTCGAGTCTTCTCCAATCTGTGATGATTCCTCAGTTTTTCCTCATCTTTTAGGACAATGCCATGATTCTGTGTCCACCTCAGTGTTTGATACCCAGGGTTTATAATAAGGATGTCCAGTTAAACAACATGTTTACCTGGGCTACTTGGTTGAAGAGGTGCATGCAAGGCTGCTCTGATATAAAATTTACCTTTCTGTGTATAACTAATAACTATATAGGAAAAGCTACTTTGAGGATATAGGGAAAAAACCGAGAAGTGTTTAGTGGTAGGTCTGCGTACAGTGCAACACAAGGCGACTTATGGCCTCGATCACATGAGCAAATGTCCATGAAGCTGTTCTACTTAAAACTTGAAATTTAAAACTATAATAAGCTTGGTTATTCTTCCTTGGCCTAATAATGATATGAATCCTGACTTGAAAATTCCTTCAGTCTAGGGCTATAGCTCACTGGCAGAGTGTTCACTTAACTTGCCTAAGACCTTTAGTTTGATTTTACACACACACACACACACACACACACACACACACATTCCATTTTTAAAAATACTTCTGCTTCTAAAAACAAACACTGCAAAAAACAACCCCAAATACTGAAGATATATTCCCTTTCAGGAAAGGGAAAACTTAGTTACACTTCCGTGAGAAAATTAATTGGCTAATATTTGCAGAACATTGTGAATAATACACCATATAAAATGATAATATTTGCATAACACAATAGGTCTTGCCTCTCTAAACTAAATAAATCAGTTTCCTTTATACTTTGAGCTTTTGAAATAAGACACAGGTGCATGATTTCACAGAGGTTATAGAGGAAGATGTTTTGGTAGGTTAGATGGTCAGAGAAAGAACAGGAAGGATGACCAGACTTCAACTGACATTGCAACACACATGGATTGATGCAAAGTTCAGTAGGCTGACTCAAGAGGAGAGGGCCTATCAGATAGAGGAAATGGTTTATAAGGGCTGGGTGCTGGTGGCTCATACGTAGCTACTAAGGAGGCTGACATCTGAGGATCATGGTTGAAGGCAGAAGGGCAGACAAATCTGAGCCTCTTATCTTCAAGTAACCAGTAAAAAAAAAACAGGAAGAGGAAGTGTGGCTCAAGAGGTAGAGTGTTAATACTGAGCAGAAAAGACAAAGTGAGAGTTTGAGGTCCTGCGTTCAAGCCCCAGTATCACAACAACAACAACAACAACAACAAAAGAATCCATGAGGGAGCAAAGAAAAGGGCAGAGGTTGTATCAAAGAGTACAAACCCCCTATGTTTACCTTTAGATCTTCAGAGACATGCTTAGTACATAAATATTCCATATACATTTGTTGAAGGAAGAACAGAGGTCCTGGTTTAGGGGACTAATCTCAGATTTCTATAAAGTGATACAAAATTGGTAGCTTCACTTTTTTTTTTGGTCAGTCCTGGGGCTTGAACTCAGGGCCTAGGTACCGTCCCTGAGCTTCTTTTTGCTCAAGGCAAGAGCTCTACCACTTGAGCCACAGTGCCACTTCCCGCTTCTTCTGTTTGTGTGGTGCTGAGGAATCAAACCCAGAGCTTCATGCATGCTAGGTAAGCACTCTACCACTAAGCCACATTCCCAGCCCCTCTGTAGGAGTTTTATGTATGACACTTACACAGAAAAAGCTACAAGTAGAATTTATCAGTAATGCAATAGCTCGCACTGGGAAAGGAAGAGTTTAGAAATATGAAGGAAATCCAGGGTTAACTTTCCAGTTCCCAAAAGATGTCATTTCCTCACATATTCCCATTGGTCGTATTTCTTTTTCTTCCTTTTTTCTTTTCTTTCCAATTTCCCTTTTAAAAGCATAGCAGGCCATGCCCCTGTGCTTTCCAATCCTGTTGTCTTGGCAAAGAAACTGCTACTGTAATATACCCTCCCTCTAGCACACCTCAAGAGTTCCAGCCAGAACATGAATGAACAGATGTCAAATGAGCTAGGGACTTCAATTCCCTAACACTGACTGGGTCAAAGGAGAATGAGTTTGCATTAAAACCTGAGGAACGCTAGATTAGGTATAAAGGCATTTTTTTTTTGTTTCTGAATAACCTAAGCTCATAGTGCAAAAATGGTCAGGACTCAGTGAAAATGAATTCTGCCTGCATGCATGCACAGCTTCCAAGACTAGAAATGAAATATATTTTCTCTTTGTCTAACTGATGATTCATGGAGCAACCTTAATAGCTTTTCCTCAAGGATGACACATTCTGAATAGTAACACCATTAAAGAGCATTATTAGTGTCCAGAAAACATATAATTCATTTAGACCGAATTCTATAAAGCAAAAACTCCAATTTGAGGCAACCAAAATGTAAATGTTGATATGTTAATTGCATTCAATACTCATCATTTTCTCCAACCCTTGTTTGTTCTCTTTCAGAATACAGAGCGTCGTTTATGCACAGTACAAGTCCAATTAAAAATAAAGAACCAAGCCCCCACTAATTGTATTGCTAAAATTAGGAATATCTTAAATTGAAAAGGTAAATTAAAGAAAAATAAGCTGTGGCTGAATAATGTTAAAGGCCAATTTTTGCAAGGCAAAACTTTTGTTGAAAGGCATCTTGACATAGAAGAAAGGATGACCTGAGAAATTAAGAAATCGGTTCACCGAAGATAATGATTGCTTAATAAATATTGCTGGATGATCTGAGGTTCCTGGAGGCTGTTTGGAGACTGCAGGTCAGACGAGTAAAGCTAACCACTGGGGAATTCAGTATTAGAAATCATGTCTCCATATGCAAATCTGTCTCTGAAGGGGTTTTTCAGAATAATGCAACACACCTCTATTTGGAATCTTTGTATTTGCATATAACCATGTGCTAAAACCCCTAGGAAATGAAGACAGCATTCTTGCAAAGTTTGTCTTTAGATAATACAACAAAAAAGGTAAGATGCATTTTTTTCTCTATATAAAGCACACATGCAGAAATTACTCAAATTTTAAATGAGTCTTTAAGATCAAATATATTTTTAACTCCACAGAAGTAAAACAAAACTCAAAAGTATGTTAGCTCTGTTTCTCAAACCCCACTGTAAGCATTAATACCCACTAGCAAATACATTTTATAAGAAGTAACACCTCCATAATTAAGCTCCTAGTACTTTTTTTTGCCAGCCCTTGGGCTTGAACTCTGGGCTTGGGCACTGTTCCTGAGCTGCTTCTGCTCAAGGGTAGTGCTCTGTCACTTGAGCCACAGAGCTACTTTGGCTTTTTCTGCTTATATACTGAGGAATCAAACCCAGGGCTCCATACATGCTAGTCAAGCACTCTACCACTAAGCCATATTCCCAGCCCTGCTCCTAGTACTTTTTATGGCATACACACATGTGATACATATTGTTTAACAAGGGAGGAAGGAAGGAAGGAAGGAAGGAAGGCAGCAACATATTATTTATTTCTCCCATGTTCTTACATCTCTCTTCTTTTTCAATTCCAAGCCAAGTAAGTACCTAATACTATCTCAGGGAGAGAATTCTAGAACAGCTTGCCCTCAATGCCACTACTCATCTGCAACCTCAGACACTATGTAATTTCATAGCTAGAGATAATCAATACTGTTTTTCTACACATTCTTCCGATTTGCACAGATCTATTTTCTACACTAAATTGGAAAATCTGTCCAAGTAAGAACTATGATATTTTCTCTAGCACAGTGCTTTCTTGGAGATTTGGATGTTTAACAGGTATCTGTTGATCCATTAGTTCATTCAAAACATGATATTTAATGAATGCTTGCTTTGTGCCAGGTAAAATTTTAGCTGTTAGGAGAATCTGTATGAAACAAAACACAAAAAATTACCCTGTCTGCACTAATCTGCTAGTCAGATTGATGACATGTTATGACAAAATACTTGGCCAAAATTACTGAAGGGAAGACAGACTTATTTTAGCCCACAGTTTCAGAGGATTCAGTCCATCACAACAGCGAGGGCATAGTCAAGCAGAGTAGCTCACCTCATGGGGGCCAGAAAGCAGAAAGACAATGACTGTGTTGGCAAGTTTTCTCTCCCCTTTTTATTCCACGTAAAACCTCATCTATAGGATATTCAGGTCATGTTATCTCCTGCTTAGTTAATCATATTTAGGGCAGGACTTCTCCTGCTTAGTTAATCATAGATAGAATCACCCTTATAGTCACATCTAGGTGTGGGCTTTACTAATCTCTCAGTCCAGTCAGGTAGACAGTCAAGACAAACTATCACATAAAGCTTATTTCTGTATGGCCAGTAAACAAATATGAATTATGAAGGATGTGAGAGGTAATAAGGAATATAGATAGAAGTAAAGGGGCCTACGGGAGGAGGATGCATCAGTTTTTTAAAAGCAGTCAGGGCAGGTAATAGTTAAGCAAAAACAGGAAACAAGTGAAGACAGGAGCAATAAGATTACCTGCAGGAAAATATGCCCTTGCTTATTCAAGAATGATACTGCGGCTGGAGTCAAGCAAATATAGGGAAGGAAGTGAAAGAAGCTATAGAGGACTTCACTATTTACTTTATGCAACATGGGAGGTTATCAAAGGACTCTGAGTAGAATAATAATACAATATACTTTGCATGCTTAACAGGCTCAGTGAATTGGAAAAAGACTTGATCAAGGAAAAGATTCCCGTTTAGGGGATTAAAGTAGTTTAAGATCTGACAGTGGTTTGGATGAGGGTGGCTGTGGTGACTTAGATGTTAGATTCTAAAGACAGACTAAACATCAATTGCTGAGACACTGGATGTGGTTTGTGGAAGAAAATGAAAAGTCACAAAAGATTAATATTTTGGCCAAAATAATTGAAAGGGAGGGTTGCCACTAACTGAGATTGGGAAAACTTTAAGAAAAGAGACGTTTCTAGAATGTTACATTGGAGACCTCCATCAAGTTGGCAAATAGATGGATGATGGGGACAGCCAGAGAGTGAGACAGGCTAGAAATTTCAGAGTAAAATTATTAACTTCAGTAACTCTATTAGTAACTGTAGGTATAAATGTTTCCATTCATCATCTAGCTTGAAGTAATCTAGTGGAGGACGGGAGAGGGGAGGATCTTATCTCTTTTTATTGTCTTTTTAAAATTATATTTTTATTATCTTTAAGTAGTTGTACGTAGGAGTTATCATTCAACAAATCAGCTTATAAGTCTAGTGCATATTGATTGATATCACTTTTTTCATCATTCGCCCTTAAGGATCTTATCTCTTAAAAAAATTTTTTTTTATTGTGAAAATACTGTTCAGAGGGGTTACAATTACATGGGCAAGATAATGAGTACATTTCTTATCAAGCATTGTAGCCTCCTCCTTTGTTTCCCCTTCCCATCCCATCCTCCTCCCACCTCCCCCAACTCTCCTCCCCCCCTCACCAAAGTTGTAAAGTTCGTTTTCGACATATGCCTTGTATGTCTCATTGCTGCAATGGGAGGATCTTATCTCTTAAATGCATACTGGAAACTTGTGTTTTCCAGAAATCAGTGAAGTACTTTTTTTCTTAAGTTTTTACTGAAGAGCCATAATTTAAAAATTATAGTGCTGAGTCTTGGTGTTCAGTCAATACTATGTGGAAAATGAACTGTACAACTTAATGAGCAGGGACAGAAGAGGGAAAGTGAAGGAAAGGGTGTCATTATCTAAAGAATAAAGTACTCATTACTTGACTTATGAAACAGTAACCCCTCTGACACCTTAATAATAAATACAGTAAAATTATCTTAAAATAAGTGTTTACAGTATATATATGCATATATATACACACACACAACTTTCATGTAACTATAAGTTCATGCTACAGTTCCAGAAAGCATGGTCATACTGTTGTCAAAGAACAAAGAACAATTTCTCCTCATAGATCAACTGACATTGTGTGCCACCTCCCCCTTCCCCCAGCAAAAAATCACTGTTTCTGACAAAAACTATTTTGATGTGGTGCGACCACATGGGGCATCAAATCTAGCCAAACAATTCAGACAAAAATCTAAACTACTAGGAACCAGTGGCTCATGCCTGTCATCCTAGATCCTCAGGGCACTGAGATCTGAGACATCATGATTTGAAGCCACCCTGGACAGGAAAGTTCCTGAGACTCTTATCTCTGATTAACCATCAAAAAGCCTAAAGGGGAGGTGTGGCTCAAATGGTAGAGTACCAGCCTTGAACAACAACAAAAAAGAAAAGAAAAGCTCAGGGATGGCACCTCGACTCTGAATTCAAGCACCAGAACTGGCACTCACACATTTCAAAAAACAAAATACAAAAAACAAAACTGTGTAGTGTGTGATGATTACATTCAACACTCTAACAGGCAGTTACTCAACTTTCCAGTGTCTGCTTAGTTCAAATGGAGTTTTGAAGGCAATTTCTAGATTCGAATAAGAGCTGTCCTTTAAATTACATTTGTCATTCCATTAAGATTGGTAAATAAACAAGAATTAATAAAGAACACCAAGAGCCATGTCCACTACGATATGTAATTCACTTTAGCATTTCCCTTGTGTGTAACTAATTGGAGTGGGGCGGGGGCGGGGGAGTGCATTGGAAACACCAGAGGATAAATATCTCACAAGTTTTCGTTTAGAAATTGTACTCTGCAGCGCTCTTGCGATAACAAGTAGACATCCTCCTGCACGCGTTCTTCTTCTCATTTTGGCAAGCACTGCTGCGGGAAAGTTTACAAACATCCCAGCTTAGGCGCGGGGGATCTGCCTTTCCCCAGCCTCTGATCCTTTGCCCCTGCAGCGATCCCCCGAAACTGCTCAAGCAGGGACCGGGGATCGGGTCGGGGAGGAACCGCGGAGTCCGGGAGGCGCTCACTCACCCAGGCCGCGCCAGCCCAGCTCGCCGTCGCAACTGTCCAGGACCCCGCACAGCTGGCTCAGCAGCACCGGCGGCAGGTCGAAGAGGAGCGTGCGCGCCGACAGCGCGGGCGCACCGCGCGTCCCGCCGCGCCCGGCCATGGCCAGGCACCCCCTGGGATGCAGGATGCTGAGCCCAGGCTCCTCCAGGACCAGGGCCGCGCGCGCGCGCGCGGACGGCGTTACACAACCGCGGAAATCCTCCAGCCACCACCACTGCCAAGACCTCCGAGCGCGCCGCGCCCCGAGCTTTGGAAGGGGCGGTCCTCTCGTGACGCAGGCCGCCGCTCCCCCGGAGTTGTGCCCTGGGACCTCTGGCCTGGCTCTGCCTTCCTCCTTGGCTGGAAGCTCCCCTGCAGGCCCCTTGAGCTGAGGACGTGACTAAAGAGGGCAGCCAAAGAATAAAAAAGGCCTGGACAGCGATCATGGCGCGCCTGCCATCACCTCTGCCTGCCCCGGGGTGAGCTGTCTTCTGGGCTGCTTTGAATATGAGATCATCATTGATTTCAGTCAGTCGTGGGTGACTCAAAGCACCTAACTACTCAGAGCGTTGAGATTTGAAAATCACGCTTGGTTTGTAGCTAGCCTGGGTAGGAAAGGTCCGGAGACTCTCATCTCCAATTAACCACCACAATGCCCGAGGTGGGATTGTGGCTCAAGTGGTAGAGTGCTAACCTTGAGCAAAAACAGTCTGAGGAACAGCATCCAGGGCCCTGTGTTTAAGCCCCATACAGGCAAGAAAGAAAGAAAAAATGGATGTCATTTTATTTTGTCAAGAAAGAGATGCAAGGGGAGGCACAGAAATGGAGAGACGAAGGGTAAACGAATGCAGTCATGGTACTGGCTGGACACTACGTTGAAAATGAACTACAGAACTTGTGGATGAAGGTGGGAGGGGAAGACTGTGAGAGGGAAGGGATGACATTGTCCAAAAAGAAATGTACTCTTTACGTGACTTATGGAACTGTAACCCTTCCGTACATCACCTTTATAAAAACAATTTAAAAAAACGTTTTAAAAAAGAGACAGGTTCACCGAGTAACACAGAAACACAGGAAAAAAATAAAGAAGAAAATAACTTCATTCTTCTCTCACCCAACCACTCCCTTCTCACTCAACCACTCCCAACCTTTTGGCACAGGTACCTCCCAACACTTCTGGAATTTAACTGGTTTAAAATGTGCCTACATGGGGTGGCTGCTGGTAAATATGGATGTAGACACCAACTACAGAAAAGGATCAAATCAGGAAAATTGTGTGTCCTTCCTTCTGAGAGTAGTTCCTCCTCCCAGAGCGACTCAATTTCACCACACTCGCTTCTCCTTGCCCTACCCTGGTGAAACTTCCACCTTGTGCTTCCCTGATGAAACTTCCACCACATTTTCCTTCCTCAAAGTGCTTTGCAGAATCTTCTTGTTGCTTTTAACATGGGGTTTAAGAAAAATGGACTTGATTTGAAATAGTCCATTATAATATACTGTACTGTACCACCATAAGCATGGCAAAAAAAAAAAAAATAGAGATACTTCAGAAATGGTGACCAAAATGGCAGTCTACATCCTGGAAGTATAGACATGAGGTATCACCTGAAAAAATGCATCAGTTGAAACATTTCAGGTCTTTGTGTTTGGGATTAGCTCCCCTAGAGCTCAACCCTAGTGGTATGTGCGCATTTAGCATACAAACCTGAAATTCCAGAGGTTGAATTCCATTAAAACTTAACTGAAAATTGGTAACGCTTATACTGTTTGGGCAAAAGTTTTGATAGTTCTTCATTCAGATGATTGAGCTTTTGCTGTAAAACTATATTCATACACAGTTCTCTATGTCTTTTTTCCATGGTCTGGAATTCATTTCAATAAATACTATTTCATATGATCGGGGCACACAGTTATTGGCCCTTTGTGTTTTCCTCCTCTCCCTCCAAGAGTATCTTCCCTTGGTTTCACTGTGTGTTCATGTTTAGAGTCCTGTATGATATCTCACATTCCAGTGCATTTTAGGTCTAGCTTCCACAGATGAGAGAAACCGTGTTATTTGTCTTTCTGAGCGTGGCTTACTTCACTTTACATGATTTGTTCTAGGTCCATCCATTTTCCTGTAAATGACATAATATTATTCTTTCTCATAGCTGTGTAAAAGTCCATTGCGTATAGGTACTGTATTTTTTTACTCATTCACCTATTGTAGAGCATCTAGGCTGTTTCCATACATTCCCTATGTTTTTAAGAAGCCATTTGAGTATGCTGAGTACCACAGGAAAGAAAATACATTTAAGGCCAGTATTGGGTGGGTTTTGAATTTCTAGAACAAGGGAGGCTCACATAAAAATAGAGATGAACTAGGACTCCCCTATCAGTAAGTATGTCATTCTGTCCCTGTGACAGATGATCTGACATAATCAATTTAAAAGGGAAGATGTATTTAGGCTCATGACTTAAGTGGGTCCAGTTCATAGTTGCTTGTCCCCAATGCTTTTAGCCCATGACAAGGTAGTACACTGTAGTGGGAATGTGTGGCAGGGGTGACAGCTAGAAAGGAAGGCCCCCATTTAACCTGGATTACTTCCTTAGAGGCTCCATTTCCAAATACAGCCAATGACACTGTGCTAAGGACTAGAGCTCCAACATCTAAATATGGGCTGGGCAACATCTAAATATGGACAGCACAAGAGAATAAACATTCAGTCTACAACAAAGCTTCTGCCTGCAAGTTTAGGAAATTCTGTTATACCATTAGGTTTCCAAACATACACCCTAACAGCAGTTGGTAATTACTTATTCATGTCCTATGGTTCTTCATAATGCTGTAGTTCCTCATTTTCTCTTGTACTTTTATACTATGTTTCTGAAATCTTTCTTTTCTTTCTCTCTCTCTTTTCTCCTTTCTTTCTTTCTCTCTCTCTCTCTCTCTCTTTCTCTCTCCCCATCCCTCCTTCCCTGCTCCTCCCTCCCTTCTGTGTGTGGTACGTGGTCTGAATTCAGGGTTACATGCTTGCCAGGCTAGTACTATACCACTTGAGCCATACATCCAGCCTTTTTTTTCCCTTTTTTTTCCAGTCATGTGGCCCGAACTCTGGGCCTGGGCACTGTCCCTCAGCTCTTCAGCTCAAGGCTAGTGCTCTACCACTTGAGCCACAGCACCACTTCCAGCTTTTCCTGCTTATGTGGTGCTGAGGAATCAAACCCAGGGCCTCATGCATGCAAGGCAAAGGGCTCTACCACTGAGCCACCTTCCCAGCCCCTCATTGGTTATTTTTGACAGGGTCTCGCTTACCATCTGGGTGCACTCCAGAGCCTTCAGCCTACATTAGTTTTCTCATCCTTAGTGAGATGACAAGTCACGTGCTACCATTGAGACAGTTTCCCAAAACTTTTCTGCCCTTGAGCTAAAATCCTTGAAGTATAATCTCAGCCTCTCAAGAAGGATTACAGAAGGGAGATACCAGCATCCAGCTAGTTCTTAAACAGGGTCACACATTTATGCCTTTGCTAGCCTGGGTTTCTATCTCCCTAACTTATGCTTCATGTGTAGCAAAAATAACATGCATATACTACACACAGCTTTTAATTGGTTGAGATTTAATTGGATTGATTTTGCCTGGGATGGTCTCAAAAGCGACAATCCTCACAAGCTCAACCTTTGAAGTAACTAGGACTATAGGCATGACCACCATGACTGGCTCATTATTCTGAAATTATGAAAGAAAATTAAAAGCTTTAATTAATTTGGTTCTTTGATAATGAAGGCAATAGCAATTTTGGATATGAAAGATTTAGCATATTTATGTTTGAAAACCTAAACAAGCCTTTGTCAGGGCTTATCTTCACAATCCTATAGGATTAGCTATTAGGTAAAAAAACACTAAAATTTTATTTTATTATTTTATTAATTTTACTTTATTATTTCACATTTTATTTATTTGTTTAATTTTATTTTCTGGTGCTGAGGACTGAACTCAAGACCTTGCACTTGCTAGGCAAGTACCCTTCCACTGAACTAAATCCCTAACCCTCAAATTTACTTTAGATTAATTATTTTTATTTACACACTACTTTTCTTGAGATTGCAATTTAAAAAGAAATAGAAGGACAGTAGGACTTGAAGTTATTGGATTTGAAGTTAAATCTCAAGGTAACTGATCTAAATCAAGGGGAAGCAGAATATTTTCTTAATTAAAAATTTTCAATTTAGGCTTAATACACAAAATAGCACACAAATTCTAAATACAAACATTTTATAACATTGTCACAAAGTGAATACATGTACTCAGGAAACAAAACATTACCAGAATCCCATTTTAAAAAATAGTTCTGAGTTTGAACTCAGGATCCTGTGTTTGCCTGGCAGGTGATTTACTGATTGGAGCTACACCCCCAGTTCTTTTTATTCTGGTTTTCAGATAAGATTTCCCTATATACCTATATTAACCTTTACTGCAATCTCATTTATGCTTTCTGCCTAGGGAGATGACAGATGTGTGCCACCACACCCAACTCTAAACGTCTGTACTATTTCCTCTGTTATTATTTGTATCTCCTCCCCAGAGAAGAATAACTTCCTCATATCTAAAATATTAGATTGATTTGTATTTGATTTCAATTTTACCATTGTATTGCATGGAATATATTATTTAAATTTTCTTTCTTTTGTTCAGCATGGCTTGTGAGTTTTCCATGCTAGGTTCAATAGTTATTTGTTTTTATTCACTGTATAAAGCATACAAGTATATGAACACACCACAGTTTATTTGTCCATTGTTTTCTTAGTGGCTTGGTTTTTTTCTAGCTTTGGTAAGTAATGCTACTATATGTACTATTGAATGTAACTTCTGTAAGCATATATATATATATATATATATATATATATATGCTGCTGTAGGGTATATATTTTACCTAGGAGTGGACATGCCCAGTTACAGAACTTGTAGTGTATATTTGACTTTAGTAGATGCTGTGAAACAGATTTCCAGAGGGATTGCTCCATTTTATACTACCAGGGCAAGTTAGGTTATTCATGGAGCCCAGGGCAAGTAAGAATAACTCTTGTTTTAAAAATGCAAGAAAAAGGAAGTGGTGCTGTGGTAGAGTGCTCACCTTGAA